AAAACATAACGGCAGTCTTACGTCATCGGACTCTGAAAAAGCTGAATTATTTAAAATATATCTTTCTGAGATATTCCTGCCTCATCCAGATATATTTGATCCTGATACAATAACACTGGTCAATAGGTCTCTCAATGTCCCTCCTCAATTTTCTCTCCCAATTAAACCCTTCTCTCCTAACGATTTAAAATATCAAATCCTAAAATACCCACAAAAAAAATCTCCAGGCTACGATCTAATCACGGCCGAAGTAGTAAAATGTCTCCCCAAAAGAGCCATTGTTCATATTACTCATATTTTCAACTCAATAATCAGATTATCTTATTTTCCTCTACTATGGAAGTTCTCGACAATTATCATGATCCATAAGCCAAATAAGCCAGCTGATACAACTTCTTCCTACAGACCAATAAGTCTTCTTCCCTTCCTTGCGAAAATTTTAGAAAAACTTATACTTAAACGTATCCTACCAATAATTTCTGACAAAAAAGTTCTACCGGACTACCAGTTTGGTTTTCGTTCTTCGCATTCGACGACCCATCAACTGCATAGGGTAGTAGATGCAATATCTTTCTCTCTGGAAAAAAAATTATTTTGTACAGCAGCTTTCTTAGACATTTCACAAGCTTTTGATAGAGTCTGGCACGATGGTCTCCTGCATAAAATAAAAACATTTCTTCCTTCACCCTTCTATCATCTAATCAAATCATATCTAACTGAACGTACCTTCCAAATACGTTACGGGTCTGACACGTCAAGTATTGGCAGTATAAGTGCTGGGGTTCCACAGGGCGGCATTTTATCCCCCATTCTCTACAATATATTCGCAGCAGATCAACCAATCACACCAAATACATCAGTAGCAGATTATGCCGATGATAAAGTAATTATATCTATGAATGACAACCCATGCATAGCCTCCGCAAACCTTCAAACTCACCTAGACCTTATGGAGAATTGGTATACCAAATGGAGATTTAAATTAAACCATAGCAAGTCTATACACACCACCTTTACGCTTAGACCAGCTCTTACCCCTGAGGTAACTCTGTACGGTGCTCCAATTCCATCCTCTCCTTCAGTTAAATACCTTGGTCTTACATTAGATAAAAGATTAACTTGGGCCCACCATATTAGAGCAAAAAGACTTTCACTGAACAACCGCTTTCGTATCCTCAAACCTCTAGTCTCTAATAAACACACCTCCCTTCATGTCAAACTCCTTATCTACAAAACACTACTGAAACCAATATGGACGTACGGGATACAGCTATGGGGAAGTGCAAAAAAGACAAATTTAAATAAAATTCAATGTTTTCAAAACATTGCGCTAAGAAAATTAATAAATGCTCCCCCATACATATCTAACCATACTCTCCATACAGACCTAAAATTAAAAACTATCCACGAGGAAGCTAAACACTTTTACAAAAGATTCCACAACCGTCTTTCCTCCCACTCAAATCCTTTAATTAAAAACCTTTCCTCCCTCTCAATCCCCGGCAGTCCTCCTAGACGATTAAAACGTGAATGGTGTAGAGACCTGTTACAAATTGTAATATAGAAAAAAAAAAAAAAAAATACTAACTTATTAAATATATTTAATTCATTTACATTTTTCATATAAACTATCAACATTTAAGTGTCATCATTGGGTGGCTTCTTTATTCACTTTTTGTATTTTGTATACTCATGTTATCTGTACCCCTTATCATATATGCTTATTGTGTCGTTTGATATAGATTGTATATTACGTATTAAAATAAAAAAAAAAAAACAATTATTGCGTTTTAATGGTTTTTTTTTCTAATAAACACATATGGAGAAACTTGCAGAAAAGAGTAATATTGCATTTCAAAACTATTGTCTCAGATACTCACTAGTAATTTCTGTGTCGGCAAATGCTCGAACCTGCACGGAAATAATGCCATATTTGATAAACATATAATTGTTATACCCTTGGTACGCACATAGATCGTTGTAAATACGCGATTGGTATAGATGATGTGTAAACTTTTAGGTTAAATCTATAAATATTGATGTATACGACATATACGATACGGTATTAATATACGTAGTTTGATCTTAGACATGATGCAAGATACGTCGTCAGCAGATCGGTTGCAATTTTACCACAAAGACGTGCATATCGTGTGTAATAACAACAACAGTGTAATGTCATGCACTTAAAACCGATGGGTATAAATTATGCGAAACGTTGACGGCCGTCGACTCATCTGCCGACGGTTTCACAACACTGGCGAACACGTCATTACTCAACGCTGGCGAAAATATAACTTGAACATAATTATATTATAACGCGTAATATTATTATGCATAGATAAATAACTCACAATAAAAGTTCTTTTTCGATTTAACATTGCGATGTAGAGCCGAGAACGTCCCATCAGTGTACTGGTGTTGTGTGTGAGGAACATGTTATTTTTTAGTACTTTTTTCATGCAACGCAATTTCACGGGCAGATATTATCACAGCGTTCGGCCTTGCCGAAACAAATCGCCCAAACCCACACTCGACTACCACGGTCCAATATCACGCACGGCCCCAAGTATAAGTATTTGGGATCTCTCTCGATATTTTCGCGTATTTTGCGTATTTGGCACTTTTATTTTCATATCTTTATATCTATATGATAATCCACTTAAGAACATCGGTAATTCTAGTGGCATGATAAAGTCTAAATCTTGATCCAACATCCACTGATTCGCTATTCGTTTTGTACATACAACGACCTACTCTATGTGTTGTATTTCCAGCGGCGGATTTAACTTTTTTCACGGCAATTCAAATTTGCCCTCCCCATTCTTAAATATAACAGTAGGTAACTCAATCCGTTTGAACTGATACACAATTTTTTTTTGCTTTTAGTTATTTGACCTGCTTTGGAAAAATTTCAATGGATGTTCACCAGATTTTAACGAAAACGTACAGCGATAATTTTTATGGCCCACCATAATTAAAACCATTGTTTGGACGGTTATGGAAACATTACATCGTTTTTCGTAAATGTAAAACAGGGAACTTTCTAGTATTTGGTTTTATGCGAATAATGTATTTCAATAAAGCACTAAAAAGTTTACCGTCCCTTAAACGTTTCCACAGCCGGCAGTTCTGCCTGTAGGAAATCCGTTTCTGTTCATGATACCCTCCCCCCACTACCACCACCACCACCGTCACCACTGCCACTATCGACTATAATTATAAACTTTAACGCGTGAAGCGAATAGACCGTAAAAGAGATGGATTTGAATGTGTTGAAAGCGATAAATACGTTTATGTGAAGTTGAATGAAGGCACAGCCGAAATTTTAATCATAATTTAATATTGATCTTTTAATGTGATCACACGGTCATGTTATAACGACGTCGTAACACAGGATAAGACGTCCGAACCGCGTATTTCTTTTAAGTGTAACCGCACGGATACGGCGGAACAGTACCAATTAGTATCCAATAGCTTGCGGAAAAAATAGAAACGAAAAATGTACGAGCGAATAGTCGTTCAGATTTTGTTACGGTTGAGCGTCGCTCTGTTTGTCGAACGAGAGCACAAGCGTTATTCAAAACGACACAGTCACCGAATGGGAGGAGGAGAGGGGACGGAGGAGATGATAAGACAACGATTTATGACGCAACGAGTGTAATAATAATGCACACAATACGTCCTGCGCCGGCGTGAACAGTATACTGTTGTATTGTATGTACAATAATCGCGAGACGCGGAAAGGGATGAAAACGGGGCCACGAGAACGAACGTAAGACTCGAACGCGCGCTGAGAATAAACGATAAGAGCTACGCGCCATATCGTATATTCGTCTCGTGTGGTTACAGCAAAAAACAAATATTTTTACACCGTCGCGTGTACGCCGCCACTGTTCTGCGGTCGTACGTGTACGTACAGCGCGGGTAAAGGCGTTATCCCGCTAACACCGTGTAAACCGTGTAGATTGTGTAGAATTTTACTACGTTACCACAAAGTATGATAATTCGATATTCGATGTTTGATGAGAAAAAAAATGACGTTTGTTTTGTTGATTGTATTTAAGTATTTCGATTTCTTCGATTTCTTTCTATTTTTTATACAGCGAAAATTCAAACTTACCACTTAACCGACCAAACTAAGTAAAAAGTGTTTACGCATATTGGTTTAAATTATTTTTAGTTTAAAAAAAATAAATAACGCAGTTGGACGTGTGTGTTAATTTTTGGATTGAAGCTATCCTGAGTAGGGGCAGATTTCTGGATTTCTGGGTAGGGGGCGATCGCCCCAACCTTTGGGCTTTTTTTTTTATCAAATTTAGATAACGGATGAGACTTGAGATGAGTACAATAAATTGTGGAATAATCATTGGTTTGTGGTAACGTGTTTGAGAGTGTCATAAGGTATGATAGGGAGTAACCCGAGTATGATAAGTTTTCAATGAGGTAGAAACGTTAGTTTTGTATGTGTCATCAGAATTACCTTTGCTGTTTTTTTTTTTCTGAGTCAAGCACCGATAATATTACGAGCCACGCGATATCGCGCGCGCTTTTGTGCAATACTCGCGTACCTATACTATGTTATGTGCTTTCTATAGTTTCTGCAACATTCGGTTAGTACAATCGTTGCATTTATAATAGTTTAAAATTAATGGCACAGCGGAGGCGTCACGTGAATATGCTAACGTAATGAGTTGAAGTGTTGCATTAAACGTCGGTGCGTTTTTTTAAGCTAGTTAACTAGACACGAACGTCGTTCTGTGAAAATATGTTATTGCTTAAGTTCAGTGGTTTCCAAACTGAGAGACGCGCCTCTCTAGGGAGGTGCAAGCACTTATTGTGGGAGGCGCAAGGCGAATATTTATAATGTATTTTACACTATCATATATATTTATTTTTAGATCGACATTAATTTGCTTTTACTAAAATAATAAAAAAAAAAAAAAATGGATTTTATTTATTAATGCATGGGAGGTACGATTAAATTTTTTTTGTTTTAGGGATGCTCGAACCGACTAATTTTGGGAACCGCTGGATGATAGGACATTGAAAGACTGGATGAAACACAGTTAATTGTTAAAAATGTAAAAAAAAAAAAAATAATGCCGACGTTAAGATTTGTTTTCAATAGCATGCGGAGCGAACGTGAAACACTGCCAATCATATAGTTTTATACGTTGACTATTTGGAGAGAAAAAAACGGTTGGTCGCCCGGCGAAAATTAAAAAAAAAAAAAAAGGCGCTGTTAAACGTTAAATACGTTTTGATTCAGTACAGATGTGACCGTGGTTTGCACGCGGTAGTGTGTATCAGGTTCGCGCGTAACAGTGCGCGCAGTATGGAATCGCATACGTGTATCAAAGTTCTAATTGTTTTCGCTAAACGAAACGGTTGTACGCACGCCGCACGTGTCAGTACGCCGATTGGAAACGGAGACGCGGACGCGTTTGTTTGCGTTTATCTTCAGCTTCGTGCCAACGTGATTACAACGCGTGTTATACGCAAAACCAATCGGATCCGTTGCAGTCGGAACCGCAGCACATCAGTGCTGCGCAATAGCGATAATTATAGGAACCAAAAGAAAAAAAAAAAATAACTCCACTTGTTTGGACACCACGCTATATCGCCGTAGACAGTTTGAAGGAACCTAAACTTGTGGAATTCGAGTTATCATTACTGTCCGGCACGAGAACCAATGAACAAAAGTCCGTTTGAAGCCTATATATGAATAATATTTTATATTGTATAATAAGTAGTTATATAAATTTTATTCGCGTATACACTGTATTGCGAAGTATGTATTATTTGTTTTCCGTAAGTAAAATGAAGTCCTTTTAGGCTATAATGAAACAAGTCCGACTGCCGACTGGTGTTTTTGTTGTTGGGGGGGGGGGGGGTGAGACACCCGCCCAAGACCCCTCTTCGGGACGGCCCTGGATAAATTACGTATTGTTAACGTGTAATGTTTGTCGCATGTGTGCTAAACCCCGATGACGCACGAAAAGTAACAAAATATTGCACATTTTAAAATAGATTAACATATGTTAAACAATACATCGCAATCGTTCGTGATGGTAAATCATCATCAGCCATGTTACCATATCAGAATCCGTAGCAAAGATGTTTACACATCGGTAACAATTAAAATAATTAATGACCACTGCAATGAATTTCCAAGACATTTACCGTTGTACTTTTTGCAGTCACAGTCCATGCACTGTTCACATCGTTACACTTTCGGGGTTAGTCCTAATGATGTTTTATTGATTGATTGGCTATACTGATGTGTCTTATAACTGTAGCAACTTATCGAATATGTTTTAACGCGGTAAAAATTCCTCGAAGCTTACGATTCGACGAAGCGAACCACAACCACTGTAGCAGTATATCGATAACGCAATGTGCAACAAAAGAGAATTTTTAATGGTCGACCCGAAAAATCGCTCAGTATTCAAGCAAAAATAATTCAAGTGTAAACATTTTACCGATAACGATTCGATCATTGGATTTGATGAGTTTTCAACAGCGCACGGCCGACCACACGTATTGTAAAGTGTATTCCTTAAGAAAGCCAACTTATGCGATAATAAACGAATCCTATTTGTTTTTCCTAGGCGCATACCGACCACCCGAAACGGACACGTGTCTGATGTGCGACACCGTGTACGTACGATATGGAAAGCACGAGAGCTCCGAAACGTCGGTGAGGATTACGTTTCTGTAGATAATTATAACGCGCGGCGATAAAATATAAGGATAGCTCGAACGACGCTAATAATATGCTCGACTACGGTTTGTATCAACTTAATCGGCAAACGAATTCAATTTGTATTTACCCGTCGCGTGTTATGTTCCGCGTGTAAGTTCCGCGTAAACGAATTTATAATTTCTCATGTTTCTATAGGTGCCGTGCTCGGATCAGACAAGAGCACAAAAATACCATACGGACGTCGATCATAGTTTATGGTGGTGCAAAAGGTTTCTAATTAGTTCAGGTTTGGTTTGATTTAATAAAATAAATAATACCCCGTAGACTCGCCATGAAGCCACTGGATTTAACACGCTTCTCATTTATCAAATTGTTACCGACCAGTATTTATTTCGCTTGAATATTTAGTCGATGGATGCTTTCGTTTCGTCAAATTTGTGTGAAACAATTTTAACCGTGTATTTTAATAAACGGTTGATTTGTTTTCAATATTAATGCGTTTATGAATTATAAACATGTATACACCATACGTATTATATACTTTCGTTTAACCAATTATTATTGCGTGCGATTCATAAATATTGTGCAAGAATAACTAACTTCCTCTTCGTTGTCCAAAGTATATTAAGCGACCGCAATTCATATTATTTCAAAATTATTTTTAAGAGCACTAATTAAGCCGGCTGATTTAAGGGAAAATATTTGAACGTTTAATAAACCAATCAATAATAGATGATTGAGCACCAGATAATCGAGGGAATGTAAAAAAATATATAAATTATATTTAGATTAGTTAATTCGGATCCAGTCTATTTTTATATTTATTTTATTTTATTATTTATAGGAATTTCTCAAAATATTTATCATATTGATAAAAATTTATTTAATTTTATTATATATTAATATTTGGTATTATAATCGATTATTCTAATATTTTTTTTTATTTATAATTGTATTCCATTACCGTGCCCAAATCGCTCACGTTTAATTTTATTTGTGATAAATTGTCTATTTTCTATTGTCCCGATCATAGTTGTTGTAAATCTATTATTTTACTAGGAAAGGGTGTGTAATAATTCGTATAAATTCATTTGATTTAAATCAAATTCGTTAGTTAAAATACTATTGACAAGGTTTTAATTTTCAAATCCATATATTTTTAACTTGAAAATGATCACAATATCGATTTCCTTTTTTAAGATTTCACGGAAATCTTACACTTTCTATTAATCTATAGTAGCATTTCTCCAAAAAAATAACAATCGAATAGATGTATATACGTAGAGCACTAAACTTGAATAAAAATCTATTATATAATTATTATTATATAATTAACCAATAAAAATGTTGTTAGAATAATATAACTATGCCCTTCACATCGGGTAAAAATATGAACCATTGTATGACCTCACCAAGTTCTAGGAAGAAATTATAAAACAAATGTATGTTAAAAACTATAAAGTGATGTGTTACCATTCGAAAATGGAAAGTTAATTCTATTTTAACGAATATTTTTATAATAATTTTAACGATGAAAACTATGCTGTGGTGATCTGTAGACATAAGTCATCGCAATAGTACTTTCTAAAAAAAAAAAAAATAAAACTTAAATCATCAAAATATACATCAGTACACTATTAAACATATGCAATATGATCTTAACCGTTTTCTGTACGCTGATCGATAATATCAAAACTTACGACCAGTTATTAACCTTACGCAGTCATTGAAAATATAGGACACTCGTCGTATACGACCCATAAAACTTATTGATCATTAATTAAAGATTTTATTTATCTCGCGGTTAGAGCATTTGTACATTGTTAAACGAACGTCGACGTGTTTGTCGCTCCCGCGACGTTCTGCAATGTAAACTCGGTTCGTCCGTTAATACGCGGCAAGTCATCCCACCGCGTGCGCACGTACGAGATCGTATGTACGCAGCGACCCGTTGCAATGTAACAATACGAATTATGTAACACGACGCGTCGAGCGTTCCATTAATAACGTACAACAATATTGCCTACTGTACACACCGTAAACGTACCGACGATGGTCAATTCGTTGTGCGGTGAAATTATGCGGAGTCACAACCGCTACAGCTGTCAATCTTCGATTTCACGGACAATTAATACGTCATACAATACGCGTACACTTTACTTGCTAGATGTGTACGCGTACCGCACGTTTTGTGGTGTTCGATATTGTAATATGTACGTGTTTAAAAGTTTTTCGTTTCGACGGTCCCGCGGTCCCCTACGTCCCTGTTGAAAACTTGAACCCGCAACACATCAACGCGTCGGTAATCACTGTCGACCCGTGGCCGTTGCAGCAATCGTTCCGATCGAATGCGGTATTGTAATGTCGTAATCGCGTACGTTGACGATCTGTTTACGGCGGTTTTTACGTTTGCGCTGTACCGGCGCATCGTAATAATTTTACTGTCGTCTGTCGTCGAGTTAGGAACAACAGTCTTAGAACTCGTCAGCCTTTCTTTATCTTGTCCGTCGCGTTAACGCGGCAAATATTTCCAGTGAACTTATGACGCGTACGGACTAATTTGACTAATGGACGGTAATCGGAACCGCGCACGTAGGTACACCGCGGGTGACGATGGGTAACCCAAGAACCATTGGCCGAATAACTACTCCGATCTTGCGCGTTCGGCTTTTGCGTGACCCCTAGTGTAAAGTGTCGACGAAACACGCGTTGTTTTATCATTTCTTTTTTGACGTCGAAATATTTTTCTGGTTTATTCCGTCAACGGGTACTGTGGTCCCTCAACTATCCGACTGTCGTCCCGCCGCTTACGACTCGTACGCATATGGGCTTTTCGTCAAAGACCAAAAGTCCGTAAGACTTTTGCGACTATCGGACGTGCTTGCTTGCGATGTACGCGAAAATATGCAAACGATTCACGTCACAATGTACTGCGTCGGTAAAACAATTATCGATTATATCGGGATTAGCTTATGCGGTCATAACTTTATGTTTGTTCCGTCGGACCATGCGTGTAAAACACGACCAATTGCAATGATACAGCAATGTATACCTTTCTTTAACACCATAAAAACCGAAAACACTCTAATGCACATTAATCGAAATGTACCTAAGCGTCATATTCATATCAACACACGATGGTGTATACAATCAAACGTTCCAACGAGATTAAAAAAATATTCATGTAATCTAAATATTGTATGCGTATAGTACGAATATTAGTGCGACGCAACGATTCTCTGCATTTGTGATTCGTTAGTATCGGTATCGGCGCGCCGTTAACTGTTGTTCGAGTTAAACGATTTGGCCACAAACCTAAGGGTAATATACGAGTAATTTGTATGGTAACGTTTCGCACATTGGATAAATGCATGATGAATACATTACCATATTCGTCTGATGTCCGACGCGTTTTGGTTTTATCGAGGCACAACCGTTCAAGCAGAACGAAATCTTACCGAAGAAGAACTCCGCGAAAGAAAGTGAACGAGACGGACTGTTAATTTTCCATCGAAAAAGAAAAAAAAAGAAGAAAATGAAAATAAAAAGCGAACGAAGCAAAAACGAAATCTATCGAAACTGTAGTTTTTTTTTTAATCTTAAAATCGTGCGACCTATATAAATTTATATATTAGTACATATCGTAAAATATTCAGTGCAGGTTTTTAGTACGACATATGATTTATAAATTTATCTTGCGGACGAAAAACAGAAGCAACACAATATACACGGCGGTGCCAGTGCAGACAAACTATATTTTCTATGCATAACCAAGCTAAGTATACATTAGCGTATTTCTATTTGAACATTATGGTATTTCGACTTTGGTCTGTAAATATAGTTCTGCGATTACTTAGTAGTTTTACATAAAAAAAAAAAAAAAATAAAAAAAATATGTGAATTGTTATTGTTTTATTAGTTAATCATATATATATATATATATATATATATATATATATATATAATTCGAATACCATTGGCTGCGATGATCACAGCGTACAGCCAAAACTACCGATTCATTTGAAATGTTGATGAATTGTAATTATTACCACGTACGACCTGCATACGAACCTAAATCACCTCTCCCTATAACTGGTAACAAATATTATGGTTATACATTTGGCCAACAGTCGCGATACTTTGCTGTTGGGTAAAACTGTGGGCAGTGCTGACGAAACATGAGATGCGATATCCATACGCTCGTCAATCAACGGGACTACTGTTCTCTATTATAAACGCTTCCACACCAAACTGGCAGATAATCCCAACCAACTGATCAACGAATTACCAACTTAATACTAAATACTTAATTATCTTAAGAGACATCGCGAGTGCGTGATTCCTCCTCGTGGTGCGCGTATAAACTCATTCAACTGTCCGTAAATTATAACTATTGTTTACTGCACAAACTGTATGGATTGTAATATATCGAAATAAAATCATTTTTCTGAAGAAATAAAACCCAGCGTTCGTAACGAGTACGCATGAAAACGAGAAAAATATTTAACGATTTTACCAAAGAATATAGCTGTATTATCGACGAGGACGAGCGATTTATTCACATTGATTATTTATTGTCACTCTGATTTAAATGTAAACACTTGTATGATGATACATTCTTAATACAATGATATCGAATAAAACACTCGAACACATGTTTGACCGTTGAAAAGTAAGCTTTGGCATTCGAGACCTTTGTTTAACACCCCGGACGAACGACAATCATATTAATGCAAGACGATAGTAAATAATTAATATAAAAAAATATACTCTAAAACACAGATATTATAAAAGTACTCGATTTTTTTATTTTAATTATTTGCCCGACTCCGTAATGTGTGCGTTCCGTTATGCGCACAGGCTGATGGTAAGATTGCGCCAAAATGTAATTCGTTGAATACTCAACAAAATGTCCCGTTTCGGATATGATACGCCTACGAAGGATATTTCACGTCGTCGTTGTTTATTTACGTACATTGACGCCACCGTTATGGCCCGTTGAATTCCGAGTCGCGACGTTTCGGATTTGTTTTTTTTTTTTTTGCTCGTCCATGCACGTAGCGCGCCAATGATTTCTAGTTTCTGTGCAATGACTCACGAGTACGTGATTTTTTTCAATGTGAGCACACACTTTACTGCATGAACACATCGATCAAAATCGTTTTAGTAGGTCATCGAATGAACGAAGCGAACAGGACGATGCTGAATTTCATCATCAGTATGTGTATCAGACGTGAGCCCGTCGAAATTTTTTCACCGCAAACGTTATTTTACTACTATTCCTGTTTTATATCAGGTCGTGGACACTTATTGGTATCATCATTATCGATTCCGCTGTTTTAAAAAAGGAAAAATCTTATCAATTGACATTTGTTGTTAATTAATTTGTTTTCTTATATTGTACATGGTGATAGTGTAACATAATTTTTTTCGTTTTTTTTTTTAAATAATTACTAAATATTTTATTAAAAATGTATCATATTCTATTATTTTTTATTACACACTAAAGTGATTCAACTATCCGAAACATGATTTTAACTTGTATTTTTCTTATTTTCAAATTAACTGGACAAGTGTAATATATCACTGATTATTTTATTAGTATAGTTATTAAGTTAATTAGAAGACAACTGACTATTTAAGTTAAAAAATGTAGAAAAAGACCTCACTTCTTAATTAGTTAATGCTCAACTTTGAAATTATAGTGTGTCTTTCAGATTTTGTATTCATAATTTAGTGATATATGATAATTGCAAAAAAAATTATTTATATTATCTGAGTACATAAGTATATTAACATTTAATTTTAAGTTGAATTTTCCAAAAAATAAAACTAGTTAACAACTAAAAAATAAATCAATTGAAAATTCACACATAATTTATTATTTAATAAAAAGGTCACACTAATATTTTCTTCTTTTAAATGGCGACTGATTTAAAGGTTGCCCTATTCTGGTCATGTTAATTTTTATCAGTGTCAATTCTAAATATAATATTTCTGTATTATATTTTTACGACTGATGCGACAAGTGCGTTCCATACGAGCATTTGTTTTAAGTTCGACGTCGATATTACCTTTATATTACATACCTGTTTATCGGATTAAACAATTAAATCTCGTCCATTCAACTTTTAATCCTTATTATTAGTACCAAAATGTATTGATTATATTATTTCTTAAATTTTTAATACAAAACATTTATAAAATAAAATAAAAAATAAAATTATGATTATTTAAAATTTCTATTGTTTTCTATTTATAATTAAACAAAATGGTTAAAGGGTAGTTGAAGTATAATGGCAAGTGATAATAACAATGACCACCTGCTTTTATTCTACTTGAAAACAAACTCCTTCATTTAACACAATCCTGTTAAAAAGATACTTAATTAAAAAAAATGACATTTTTCTCGATTCATTGTTATAAAATAACTAGTTAAAAATAAATTTGGGGTAAAGTGTCGTGGTCGGGTGTTATTGTATACTATATATACTGTATATATTCAAATTCGTGAAAAAGTTCTCTTGACAATGAAAACATTTTTGATCGTACACCGTTAAATATTTATTAATACCAATATTATTTACTGTACATTTTTTCTGATTTTTCGCTTTAATAAATATTGCAAAGAAAAATAGCCAGGACAAAAAGCAAACCATCAAAACCACGTACGATTAAGAAAACTAAAACTAAAATTACAATTCGTAGAAAAACTTAATGTTCTGAAATATATGTACACAATATTAAATCGGACGAGAAATATCTCGTGTCGAGATGGCATTCGGACAATCTTTAAACCTCAACAGAATAACACCGTTGACGGACTTGCAAACACACGTCGTACAATACACGTACATCACTGGGCAGGATAACTGCGGAACGTTAATATCGGTACGAGGGCGTAGCGCATACGAACACGACGGACCGAAACGATACGTCGACTTTGCGACGAAATTCGCGAACTCGGGTGTGAGCGACAGTTACGAGGTGGTTTGAGAGGGTGCGATGTTCTGTTACATTCGAACGTTTCCCGGGTACGGTGCGGCAGGACGGACGGTTCCGAAATCCTGGGGAAAAACGTATAAGATTCTCGGTCATCGTCCCGCGAAACCGGACGGGAGTTCAAACGCCTGCGACTGCTGCAATTGGTAGACACCGGCTACGTTTTTCTGCTGCTGCTGCTGCTGGTCGTACAAATAATCCCTGGTCAGCTGCTGCTGCCGGCGCTCCTGTTGCCGTCCGTCCAAGCCCAGCCCGATGCGTTCGATCAGCTTGTCGGATTTGTCGCCGTGCAGCGCTATGAACTCGGGGGCACGACGTGCGCTCACCGCCGGGTCGAACGGCCACGACTGTTGCCTGTGGAACACGGCCGAGCCCAGCACGTTGTTCTGTATGAGCGAGATGATTCCGCCCCGGGCCTGCGTTGCGATCACCTGGTAACGGGACGATAATATTATATACGTGTGGTTGTAAAAAACAATCCAATAATAATAATAAAAGTAACGGGTTGTTTTGTAACAGCCATAACCTATAAAATGTTTCCATCGATAAACGCGATTTGGTGCGAATAAAAATTAAGAATAAAAACCTAACTTAACCGTAAGTTTATGAAATATGTCTTGGGACGAAGGCTAAATATAGATGAAAGTCATCGCGAACTCTACAACTAGAACGTCATCATCGCTTTACAACCGTTGTAACTACTCCAACGCGCAGCAATAATTTGAGAACAATTGACGATAAATCAAATTTTACGATCTAGCGGCGGTAGACGGTTCGTTTTAGTTTTACATTTTGAGAACCGCTTATGTGGAATATTTTTCGAAAGTTCTGAGTGTGGGAGAGGGGGTGGCTACAAAAATTCACACCAGAGTGTATTAATCCCTCTAAATACATCTCGGAACATTCGTTAAACATAATACTGAATATACCAAATAGCTGTGCACTACGTGTTAACCACACGAGAGTGGCCCCTGAACACGACGTGTGCAAACATTATTACACGTGTAAAGTTCTTGGCGGAGACTCGTGAACACGCGGAAAACCAACTTTGGCCAGAGGTAGAACAAATAACTCGATCGGCACGATTATTCGCACCGAACTTTTCAACATATCGCTTCGCATTGAATACATTTCAATACAATAGCGTACACTAAATGTGGACGTCTCGAACTCGTGTTCGTACCACTCGTATTTCCGTCCTATAGTCCTGCGTGTACACACCACGTTCTCTTGTTTTACCTTGGAATCATCGCCTTTCAACACTCGTTCTCTTATTTGCTATTGCGTTTCGATTACGTGACGTCGTGAATTGGTTAGCAATCAAAAACGTATTTTCCCGTGGTTTCATCGTAATCGGAATCGCGTGCGGTTGCTTGGCCGTCGGAACATAAGGGTTTCGCCACGCGCTCAAAATCGCGATTCTATTCACCCCGGTACGAGTTTCGAAGGATTGGTCCCACCCCTCTCCTCACGATAATCAAACGGCAATTCATGTGTTTGTATACGTCAATTAATCAACCGCTGCAGAAAACTAGGCCGTACGTACTGCGTTTTTCCATTCAACCTTAACTTTCCGTGTTTCACCACATCGCCGATCGTCTAACGGTCGTGGCGAGTACTTTTACGTCTACGACCTACGTACGTTACAACATTGTGTCTTACGTTGTTTCGACTAATATTGCACCGAACTGAATCGCGTGCTCGCCGTAAGAACGCGTAATATGAGTATTATCATTCCGTGTCGCGTATGAATACATCTTGTATTATTTAATTTCTCAAACTTCTGGATTTTAACTTTTGTTCAACATTCAAATATATTATCGTTGTTTGCGATGTCAAAGTATCGAAGTAAATTATAAAATCGTCAAGGGAAAAATTGAAATAATTTTTATATATTTTGCGTGGTTAGACTACGTAAAAATAATGTATTTCACCGCCCATAATAATATTTTAGAAATAATCACGTCTTGTTATAAATGTATGGATTACTGTGTTTCTCATAATTTATGACTCATAAATTACAATTAATAATAAGAACAACCGGTTTTTGTATAATTATATAAAACGTAAAATATATGACGAAACTTTATTTTAAAAAATTGGGATCAATTGAAATGTAAATACCTGAATACATATTTGTAACTTTAAATATTTACGATAAACAAAACAGTTTTTAATCAATTCACATTAAAAGTTTATATTTTGTTCTTCATAAGTTGATTTTTCATTATTTTACTTAAGGTTACTTTACATGATTATGATTTTTAAAATTAAAACGTTATAATAATATATTCAAGATTAATATGATAATTTTCGGTACAGAAAAAATCAATTCCACTGAAAGTAAATAATATTTATGGGTAAAATAAAGCTGTTCAATTTAAATTGATTTTGTTTTTGGTAGCTTTAGTTCTATTATTTAAAATATACGTGTTAACAATAATAAATAAAAAAGCTTCCCGCTTTGAATTTCTTCACTTATTTCAATCAAATGAGAAAAGTAAAAAAAATCATTATATTTTTAGGAAGACTTTTAATAAATATTAATTGAGCTTTCATGATATAAGCATACTTAATTCATTATTGATATTAATTTATTTGTATTGACAACTTGTCTAATTCTTTTCGTCGATAACAAATTTGTGACTCGTAAAATTTGTACTTTTTAGTATATGCAGCTTCTCTGTTTGCTTACTGCACAATATTTAATACATTTTTTAAAATCATTTTTCTCCTTTAGAATTCAGGTATATTTTTTTTCAACACACTAATTGATCCCCGAATCGGCTTACTTTTGAGTCAGTGATCAAAGACTACATTATAGTAGAGTATGATATTATCTTAATGTATGCTGTCATTGGATTTCCCATTTCACGCAAGAAATATTGATCACCAAATTCATATTATACACGTGCTTGAACTTATTTCAAGTCTGAGCAGAAACGCAAATGAGCAAACGTTGTTGACCTAAGGCTTTTTGAAAATACCACTAAAAGACGGTAAAAATTATATTGGTTTTAGTGTTTTGAACCTGTTATGGCGTAATAGCATCAATGTATGGCAGAGAATTAAAACCGGTTTTTTCACGTTTTAATTGAACAATGTTCGAGCTCACGGGAATCTCCAAAACCCAAACCTAAAATCAAATGCTATTATACCAGGAACATTTTTTTTTTTTCAGTCGAGAATTACAAAATGTAGTTGTTACCGACAATATAGCAGTCGAAGGTCTGCAGTAGTTGAAATTTGTAATTGTGTGTGTGTTTTTTTTTTTTTAATTTATCACACCGCCAACAAGATCTTTTTCATAAGCGTAACTACGCCGTGGTCGTAATACGTTTTTCGCACGCCATCATAACCGTGATTATATTGCGTATAACTACTAATATTATAATAATTGCTCCGTTCTAATGGAGAATTATTTCTATTCATATGTTCCTGTTACTCATGGCACTAACCTCATCGACAGTATACGTCTAATACACGAGAAAATATATTAACCATTGGTGTATGTACTAACGCTCACAAACTACGAATGTAAATTATAAATATATATTGCGAGATAATGTTTATACGTAAATATAACCATTTAAAAAACCTCTAGGATATTGTTACATTTCGATAAATATTTTATCATCTGCATTACAGTTTATTCAAACAGTTCTGAACACACGTATAATATACATTATATGATATTTTTGAGATTTAAGACGAAAAAAAAAAATCTTAAAAATACATTCCATGCTGGGACGTATTGATTTAACGTATGCATTTTAATCGATGTCAATCCTTGTTGAACAATAACTATTATTATTTACCAATAACGTCGATTTCTCTTTACATATCGTAACAATTAAGATTATTCTCGAATAAAAACGAATAATAATTAACGCATCTAGTATTAAAAGGTCAAATGTAATATGTACTTGCGTATTCATATGACATACTGACGTCATAATAATAATTTCATAATAAATATTAGCACCGTCGTAATGTAAAAGTAACGCGTGTGGTGATTATTAATAACAATGAATTGATAGTTTCAGGTTATTTAGTTGGTAAAGTATGAATTTAATGGTATTTTAAACGAAATTAAATATAGTCATTAATCATTATTATTCACTGTACTTACGATAAAATATAAAAATTTTTATTATCAATTACAGAGAATTCGAACGATGTGAAAGGAATTAAATTGAACAAAAAAAAAAAAACATTAAAATGTTACCTTAGAGAATTCGTCTTTCTGTTTCAAAATGTTGTATCCGAGTAAAAGAAAACGGCAATTAAAAACATCGATGAAATATTTATGTGAGTATCCATTACCCTTATTTTTAGAATTCGAAAGGATTCTAACCCACCCACCTCCATTGAACATAACTGTACAGATTCTCAACCCTTCTCGAATAACGTGATTCGTTTAACGTGAATCATAACTTCATATAAATGTGAAAAAAAAATGAGCATTCTATGATTTTGATAAATCCCGTGTTCCCTTCCAATTCACACGTCCGGATTTCGTGTAAATATCGTCACTAGACTAATATGGTACATCATTTTTGCATGGAAATTGGACTATTTACTTTTTAATTAATATTCGTAAGTGGGAAATGATGAAGGAGATGAAAATTTTTTTAGTGTAAATAATAATATAAATTGTTGATGTCAATTTCCAATAGGCATGAATGGACCACGCGTACTTGTGTTCACAATACGCAGCATATAAACAACGACGAAAACCCGCTCAGTTGTTAAAATTGCAAATTTTAAACGAAACTGTATCAACCGAAGGGTGACATTGGCCCGAAGGCGAAGAAAAGTGTATTTCGGCCAAAAAGAGGACCGACCGTGTCCATACTCGCACAGTTGCACGTCGAGGTACGAACGATATTGAATCTATTACGTCTTTCACGTTTGATAAGACAAAAAAAAAACATTTGTCGAACACGCAAAAACCAAATGTTGGAGTAGCGCATGTATCCATGACAAGGGGATCCATGCAGCGGTAAACTTTGCTGCTATCAGGAGACAATAGACCGATCGAATGTACGGGCCGCGAGACGCAACGATAATGAAAACGTGGTGGATGAAATAACGTAGGCGGGGAAAGGTTCTTTGAATGCGACCCCTGGTACAACAGTGCCGGAACTCGAAACGTTGATGTTTTCGGTTACGAACACGGGTCGACAGCTATGGTTGTGCTCTGCGAAACATTATGCCGACAGGAATAGGAGTAGGTACGATCAACGCGTCCGTAATGCGTTTGTGCCGACATTGAATTCATCGAACTTTGCGGTAAAGGAAAAATAACACGTTCCCGACGTGCGTTCGAACATTTACGAGTCGCGGCACCGTTGCATCGATGGTGTATCGAGGTCTGGGGACTATATAAAACGGTCTAGAACAAACGGTCATAACCGTTCGGACGTAGAGGACGAGCGCGAACGTACACGTAAATACAGAACTATTATCGATTACAACTCATGGGGTGTAAAACGTACACGTTAAATCGTATCAGCCCTGTCGCCCTCTGAAAACAATCACGGACGATCGAATCGATCGTTTAAGGTACGCGCGAGCGACGCGTTCCGCAGCCAACTCGAGGCGGACGCGGACCAACGCGAATGTTAAGGGCGCGCGTAAGTGCGCGGACGACGACGGTATCGCTAAAGTGCACACTCACCGTGATGACGATGGCGGTGGCCAGCAACAGGCTCGGCGCTACGGGAACTGCTGCGGTGCGCATGACGACTGCGGCGGCCGGTGACGACGTGCGAACGACGACTGTTGTCGAGGAGTCTCGTCCGGTGCGCACCGGGTGGACGGCCGCGAACGCGAGACGACGAGCGGCTCGTGCCGGAGGTGCTGTCGCGCGGCCAATGTGAGCCAGTGGGTCATCCGCGTGCGTGCGCGTTTCGTGGTCGGGGTGGAGTGACTGGTGGTTGCGACACGGCGGCGGCAAGAGGTGCACGTGCGATTACATAAGGTTCGACCGGGGACCAATGTCCCCCCCCCCCCCCCCCTACCGGTCCGCTCGCAACGCGCGAACGGACCTCGTGGCCGTTGTTCGCGCGTCCGTTTCCCCACGGCGCCCCGTCCAGAAACGTATGATTTTTGTCGTGTTCGGCGCGCGATTCGTTCGACCGTTTTCGGGATTTCCGCGGAACTCGTTCGCCGTGAAAAATTCATTTTTTCCGGGCAGGGCTGGAATAACGTTATTCCTCTCCCGATTGATATATTTTTTTTTCCTCGTCCCGAACCCTCCCTCCTACGACGCCCCCATCGTTCACTAGCGCGCACGTGTACCGCGAGTGTTCGCCACCGTCGGTTCGCGTTTTCGAAAAATAAAAAATTTAACAAACGTACCACTCGCTAACGAGCGGGTGGGCGATTCGTGTTTCGCGTGTTTCCCACTGCGTACGCGGTTTCGGTTTTCACTTACGTTCTCGGTAAAGATTTATGACGTTCGGACACTTTCGGGTGGATTCGAAGAAACGGGTATTCGAGTTCAAGCTCGAAAAATGAAAATATCTAATCAAACAGAAACGCGTTTAATTAATGTACGTTTTCTACAGTCGCTCGTTCTGTTTTGCGCTAAATAAAAGCTGTGGTTGGATAATAATCGTCCCTACTGCCGGGTTCATGTTTATTGCTTATTATACGTTTCTTTACGATTGTTTCGAATTCGATTTCGAACATCGAAATGGTTACATTTTATAATTTACACAGCACGCGGAATACGTTATATTTAATTGTCTGGATGGTTAATTCAGTGCACATACTCTTAATAGTATTTTGTTCAAATTAATCACAGCGTTAAAAATCAGAACGCTACGACATAGATTTGCGGCGGTAGTCAGTGGTGATTGACTGGCGAATATTTGTTTTTACGTTCATACGGTAGAGTATTTTTTTCTTGATAACAACCCGTCTGTTACGCTTAAACAGAAAAAAATTTACCGTCACGCGTGGTGCAAAGACGGAAAGTACGAGCAATCGAAAATCATTCGAGTTTTCAAATCAAGTCGATCTAAAGCTTTAAAAAATACTCGTGCGCGGATGTATACAGAGTGGAAGGAGAATAAGATTCGAGGGGAGAGGGAAGCGAAAAACTGACCCTCGGGCTCTACCCACTCGTTACCGTCCGTTGCAACGCGTTGTCATTAAAATATTATCGGTTCGGCTTGGTATTACTTTCCGAATAGGTTCCGTTGAATTAAACACCATTATCGTGACCTGCAGAGGCGGTTTCATCGTTTACTTCTAACCCCGGGCAGATCAAAAACACTATTCACATGATCCAAAAATATTGATCTAGATTTATAACGCCGTGCGAGCGTTAAAACGTTTACGGTTTATCATCGTTAAATGTGTTCCATAGAGTAGCTTGTACGTCGAATTGTAATTTATTTAACCATCTTTTACAATGCGATGGCAGCGTGCGGCGGTAGGTAGGTTCCCATTACATGTATTAGCTTTCGGGTAAGCAACGGCTACCGTTGTAATACCAAGTTCGATACAAAACCGGTCGTTTTGAACAAGAGAGCGAAAAAGTGGCGATTGAAAACGATAATAACATAATGTTATACGTGCAGTCCGTGGTAAAGTAAAAAACACGTCCGAACCGAGCGGACTCGTGACGAGTCGTTGTCAACGAGCGTGCACATCAACAGTCGTAGGTTTTATGATAATTGGGCATTCGAACGATGTCCCCCGGGGGATCTTACCCCATTACTACGGTTCGCCGCCCGGTGGCACGACTAGCGTGCGAAAACAACCCCGTCCGACGCACCAGTGTACCGGAATTGCATAACCGGAACGCCGACGTAGTGGGCGACCGGTGGGGCGAAGCGTCATAGGAGACAATGAAACAATGTCGGTTGCCCGCTTTGAATTCTTATTTCATAATAAATGATAAGCATAAACGTCTTGAAACATAAACATAAATATAGGTATATATATATATTTATTTTAAAATTTTTCGAACATTTTTCGTTTTTGTTTGACCTAAATCTTTAAATAAGATTAGATTTCGTAAACGATCACCGTACTTGCGCATTCGCGAACTGTTACGATGCGAGAGCAGACGGAGGAGGTTCGGGTGAGTTTTGTGCGATGCTTCGCACGCGTCGATGTACTCGAAAAAAATGACGACCGAAACAAACGGTCAGCACCGCGTCGATATCGTAACTTTCGGCGTCGACGCTGTCTCGGCGATGATGGGTTTCGACACGAGATACGGCTTACGTGGTCGGTTTCGAGACGAAAGTCGTAACGATTTTTTGCTCAGGTAGTCGGTCGCGCCCGAAAGAGATTGTACGCGCGACACGGTCGGCGCACCCGTTTATAAGCTCCGAGTCGAGTCGCGTTCGACTTTCACACATTTTTTGGTTCATGGAATAAATTTGTTCAGTGGTCACAAGTCGAAACCGACGACGGTTTTCCACCGCGTGCGCGCCACGTGCTTGTTGGACCACGGTGGTTATTTGGACTACACCGCGGTTCCCGTATCAATGTTATGGAATATTCAACAACGGCCGATGTCGATTGATAAATGGCAGTCGGAGCTAAGCGGTGCGTGCGTTACGGGACAACCATTCGATCACACATAAATGTTCTCCCGGAGATATCTATAATTAACGTACACCTCGGTACAGACGAAGTTTACGAGCATAACGGTTGTAAAAAAAAAAAAACATTTCTCGGAGTGCGATACCGATGAAAATGTTGTTCGCTTGGTGACGAACACATGGCTCGGTAACTATTTCTATTTCTCGTCTTTCGAAACGTTGATAATATGAAATACGTTTGATGCGACAGTTGTCGTTACGTTTTATTTCACTCTCAACGCAATATTATTCCGTTCTCAACAATAACGACATTTGATCGATTACATTTTACGAACAGTTTAACGTAGTGAGTATTATCCTAAAAAATCCCATGACAACAGTACGCTGACCAAACTTCATTGTTGCCGGAGAGAAACAAATTGTATTAAAGCGAATTTCCCGACATTCTGATTGTTTACACGACACAGTGTAAATATTAAGATTTAATTTGTTACAAATTTTAAAACAGTATAATTTCGTGACAAAGGTAAAATTATGATTACATTTATATACTAACGGACACGGTGAACTTCGTCTCGACCCAATTTTACGTCTTCAACCGCAGAGTGATAATAAAACGCATACACATTTAGTTCAAATTTCATTGTGATGTGTTTGAATGGAACCGAAATCAATAACGAGCGATATGATAAACAATGTTTTTCGTTTTGTTTTCCGGCGTAAAAACGAATAACGAAGACGGTTTGCTAACGCACACAAACTGACAACGTACAGCTGACCGTCCGGAAAACATGGAAATTCGATAAAGCAGCGATAATATAATTCAACACTACATTTGTGGCTGGTCTTTTCCTAATAACATTTCGTTGAATTTGAAATGGTGATTGATCAGCGCGACCTGTGCAATATGGGCAAGTATCCATTAATTTGCTTTTGCACGCGCCTTTTGCGTTTGATTATCACGGACATTTTAACTAATTATTGCACGACGTGTCCTTCGTCCAAGGTTTGATCGTCTGATAGGAGACATCAGTCAAGTAAATAACTCTGTCTAAAATTATGATTAATCCTATTCAAAATAAAATAATCTCACAAAAAAAAAAAAAAAAAAATGAACGTAATGAATGTTTCGCAATGAATAGAACGAATTTTTTTTGAACAAAATCGGTACAGCCTTTCTCAATCGATGAATTACTATACATTTTTCACACCATTTTCATATACATTAAAGATATTTATTTTATAATAACTGGGCGTCACTGAGAATATTCGTGAAGAGGTCCATAATATACAACGATTATTATCGCATCGAATGCATTTCATATTTTATCAACATTATAAAAGGCGATGGAAGTGTGGACCAATCGCCACATTGTCGTTTGGTGAACACAGTTTTCGTTAGTGTGGACATTTTTAAAACGTATGTCCTGTTACAAAATGTTCGTTTGGGCGATCGAACCGTCGGTTGTCCCGTGATAGCCAACATTTCGCCACTCATCCCCAAAACGTCGCTGGGTTCGATTCGCCTTCTGCCAGTCGACATAAGAACGATATGAAATTACGTTTTTGCTGTTCTGAAAATCAGTGTGACCGCTGCTTACCTAACCGCGTGTTATTACCGGTCGGCGTATTGTTCTAATACAGAAACGCGTGTACGGTCGGTGCACGTTCGGACCGCTGCAACAAAGCTGCCGACGACGGGTTCGCGTTTACTTTTCGCACCAATAACTGTGACCCGTCTTAGTCATCCGGATTGCGCAAATCGATCTCGGGTCGCGCGGTTTATAGTAGGTCGTCCGCGCGCACCGCAAGAAAACGACATAACAACAAATCTGGGTTCCAGTGACCGTACGAGTGTATTGCGTACCGCGTGTGTGCAGCGTACGCAGTCGATCTGTGCCAATACGTGTGCTGTATTATGTAAGGAACCTCAAGGTCTTTGGCGAGAAGACCGCACGTAATGTGGGCAATGTTTACGCCGCTGCGGTCACGTACCGCCGCCGCCGCCGCGAACCTGTCCGTTAGAATTCGAATAGTTATTCGTTTGTTTATTTATTTCGACGAGTAGAAACTCAGCCAAGTGTACGCGTCGAAACTGAGCGGTACGTTCGATGCGTCGCGTCAAACAGATGATCTAAAATGCGCAGTAGAAACGCGACTGCGTAGGGAGTACGTACCCGACACGGTTTGCGGTACGAAAAGATTTAGGGCGAACATGCACAGTTGAACCGCAACGATCCGTGACGATGATAGACAATTAAAGAGCATCGCGCCCGATATTTTACGGACGGACACGTGTTCGCTTGCCGTTCGTGGC